GCCCAAGACTTCTACATTTATAAGGAACGCTTCAAAAAACCCCTGTCTTTGCATTTTAAACAGTTATTCACCTGTCCTAAAGTTTACTCAGGTTACTAGGTTTAAAATAAATAAATTTCACCCTGATATTATCCTTTATTACAATCTGGTCGAAAATAATAAAAGATGGGTATTAAGAAGACTTATAAGCACGTGAACTTAAGACATTCCATGTGCTACTTAACCGTTGCTGACGTTACATCTGCTCATGTCGAAAAAGACAATAACGTTTATTTATTCCGGGAAATAAGTAAGCTACAGATTTAGCAAGAAGCAAAATCAACGTGAATGAATTTGCTGGTACGATAGAGCTGAAACCTTTATTGTTTGAAAATCAATTTTAGTGGTGTTAGGTTTTCAGAGTTAGATGGTTTATTGCTGTCATATTGACACTGACCCTATCTGTCAAACAATAAACACAAAAAAACAAGAAAAAACTAGAGCTCTAGGCAACAGGATGATCCACTGAAATACAAATGAAGACAACGGTAAGTTTTAGTAAAAACTACCAATCACAAGAGGACATCAGAACAAGCTACTAAGCCACTTGCGAAGGAAACCTCATGACTAACTTTTTCCTGAAGTTTATACCGACGACGTTACTTTAAATAACAATAAAGCTTCATAATTAAACCATCCAACTCAGCGAACTCCATCAATTTCATTCTCCTGAGCTGCAAATATCCCCAACCATCTCAAAATCAATTTCGAATGTAAAATAAATTCTTCCGGATATCTAGTAGAAAAATATTTAAATCACTGTTAACAGTCTCTTACGACAGTGATGGTAATTCGTGCAATTCTGTAAAGTTATGGGGTTAGTAAACAGTCTTCGGTCCAATGAAATTGTATTCATGAAAATAAAGAGCGAAAACCTCATTTGTTCTAAAGGTTCCCGATGTAAAAATACTTGCATCACGCCTTAAGTGGAAAGAATACACTACTAACTTCATCATTAGAAGTGAATGAACCTGTGTTATAACACACTGAAGATTCCAAGTTACTTGTTCTACTTTCCGAATGATCGTTAATCAATCTTTACAATATTGTAAACTGGCTGTAGCGTTTTATGTTACGCCAAACTAAGTGAACATAAATACTGACCATAAATATGTCGTCATTTAAAATACAATTATATTTACTTCACTTCAACTAGTGATAAGCGCGCGATTATGGCTTTTTAAGTAAGTCAAAGATTTATGCAAACTAAGTATTTGCTTATGATTAATACATAGCAAATTAGCTGTTTACACACACGTCTTTTACCCATAGTAAAGCTAAATTTGAGAAGGTATTTTCAATTCATTCATGCTCCCATTTCGCATTTAGAGAAGTGAAATTATCACTAAAATCCAACTAGTATGCGTAATTTTCAAGAAAATTTTGTTTTTCGTATGGATTTCACTTGATATAATATTCAAACTTGTTTATAAGGAATATGACTTCAGAAATGCAATGCTTATTTCCAAAACTCTTTTGGCTACTCCATGGAAAGTTAGTGATGACTGCTTTTAGACTATAGCGTCTTTATTTCCATAGTTTTTAATTACTGTCATACGCCTATAGAAGAGAACAGTCAACAGATTCTGAGCAGCCGTCAGTAAGAGATCCTTCGAAAACAATTAAAAATACCATCCCCGCACAGTGTTAATATGAAGGATAATTAAAAGAGAATAAACTACCGATGTTTAGAAGCTGGATACTATGAAGATTATATCAAATATTTGTTTACCGGCTAGGCATATCATAGGGCGATGCAAGCCCTTGTTTCGACTAAAGTTTTTAATTACCTTGGGATATTCATTTAGGACTCATATTCAGTATTCTGCATAGCAGTCCCAGAAGATTTCTCATCTGTATACTTATTCTTTTAAACAGTGAACTCTGATCTACATCAGTTGAATATTATGACTTCTGTGAATGTCAATAGTTTTTTCTATCAAACTTTCATCGATGTAACTATTACTGTAAAAGACGACTAAGAGCTATGAAATTTGTCAGTAACAGAAGACAAAAAATTGTGCATCATATTCTTTTCTAGCTTCATGAAGAGAAATCTAAGCGGGTTGAATACCGTGTTAATACAAAAAAGCTATAAAAACATTGTAACAATATTTGTAGCTAAGGAGACTGTATCATTTGAGGTGAAATCCATTTTCGACCAAATACTGATGAGTTTTTATGATGTTCTTCCTCAACTGAAAAAGCTGGATAAATAAGCTTCAAAATACAAAACGTTGTGCGACAACATTGCAAGAACGACCAATAGAATCCCGTCAGTACACAAAAGTAAGAAAAATGAAATTGGTTACTGTTCAGTGACCATTCGATAGCAAAAAAATTAGAAAAGACCTAATGTCAGAAACTGAGAAGAGGTTAACTAACTGAAATTCAAGATTTATTAGCTGGACGACATTTTTAAAAAAGAAATCAAAAAGTACTGGTGATTTCATATACTTTTCAAAAGAGACTTCAGAGGTATTAATGAGATAGAAAACTCCGTAATACTTTTTCAATGTGTCCTAAGTAATGAAATTTCACCGGATATCCGGTTTATGGTATGAAACACATTTTCCACATTTATCCGGCTGTGCGATATACTAATCGTCGTAGAAGTTGGCCATCTTAATTCACTGGCTGCACTGGTCGAAAGTTGTCAACAATATTATGCTCAAGTCCTGTAGAGTCACTATATTTTAGTGAACGAAATTTCTTCAGCTAGGGTAAAAAAATTAGAAGCTAAAACGAATTTCTTCCGTGAAAAAATTCAGCTATACATTACGGATGTAAAAGCGCATTATAAGATTTTCTTCTGAACAAAACTTGTGCCGTTAAAGTGATCAAAAAAAGCCCATTTTACTATGTGATATACGCAGCGGATGAACTCAGTTTACTTTTGGCGAATTTCGTTCGATATCGGCCACTTCCTAGATTGTCACTAGTATCTAATCCAGCTTGAAGCAGCCACATGTCTCCTGGTATTCAACATTCCGCTACACTAAGATACTACAATTTCTGACCCAAATAAGTTATAAAAACCCAGAAGGACAGATATCCATGCAAATTCGCCAAAAGATGTATATATGATTCGCCTTTAAAAGTAACAGACGGATAGTTTCACCTGAGATCTCAACCAGATTACTGAGGCTGAATGGGATCACCGTAGCTTACAAACCCACAAAATCTTTCCAGTCTCTATTCTTCACATTAAAAGATACAATAACAAAGGAAGACAAACCGAACAAAAACTGCGAAAAATACTGCTCTGGAAACAGTGGTCACCCTCTTTGTATCCATCTACATGAACATCAACTGTCAATGAACCATCGTAAATTATCTTCGCTTATATCAGCTGATTGAACAACTATGAAAATCCTAAACAGAAGAGATACAAAAAATGCGACAAAAGTTTCAGAGGCATGGCATTCAGTTCAGTCTGCTATCAACAGACACGGCGACATTGACTCAATCTGTCAACAGATAAAAAACACAAGAAACAGAGAGAAGGTCAAAATTCACGTCTGCAGGACAACCGGTCAAAATAAGTATAGAAATAATGATAAGACACTGGGAGAAACAATCACATACACAAGGCTACCAGGACAAGCCATTAAACCACTTCTGGAGAAAGTCTCATGGGTCACCTGGTTGTGAAGTTGGTGCTGATGATGTTGTCTAAAATGACAAAGAAGTCTAACGACTAAACCACACAGCTCAAAAAGTACAACACCAAAAAGCCCTTAGAATTACTGAGATTTGCAGTTTCATTATGTCAGAGCTTTTATTACCAAATGTTCATTCTTTAAAAACCAAGTTTCTTTGGAGAATTTGACTTTTAAGCACTTGCCAGCCTGCTACGATATATGTTATACGCTGTGCATAACACCCGATATTGCCTTTAGGTTTTCTGACAATATCACAAAGTTTTTGCTGACATACAGACAGAATTGTCTGTGTATGACTTTCCTAGTTTAAAAAGGCTTTCAGACATAAATGCATATTTGATGAAACTCAAAATTGGTAACCAGATAATAAATATAATTGATAAAACACCCACTACAGAATCTATCAAAAATGTTGTTATTGTTAAATATGAGAGAGGTAGAAAGACTATTGTAGCGCAAAAGTTTGAGTCATTTTCACAATGGGTACATTTTTCAGCAACACAAACTGAAATTTTTTCAACCAAACCTGAGGAAAATCTTGGTGAAATAAATGAAAGCTATGCTCATAATAATATGATGCCAGTGAAAAATTTACGGTATGATGTATACGTATTTACCATCGTTTTCAAACTCTTTGGCTTATGCAGAGATAGTAGAGAAAATAAGTTTGACTTCCTAACAAGTTCATTATCTAACCAATACAGTTAATCAGTGTCAATAATCATTCTGATAGGAAAGTTTGATTCAAGAGTGACGTTTCCAAATGTGCCACAAAAATCCACGGTAGACCTAAAAGTGTTGAGTATCCTTTCTGTTGCTCACATTACCAAAGTTGACCTCTGTATGTAATAATGTTGGACTTCATTTATGTTATTGTGAGATGAGGAGCAAAAAGGAATGATCTTTGACATAGGATGGTCAGTTTGCAAATGATTTATAAATTGACCGGTCCACGTTGACACTTCTGACAGTTAAGTTATTTTTCAACTGCCCAACTATGTTTTCAAGGGAATTTTCACTGGGAATCACTTGGTTGAGATCACAACGTGTAACTTCTGACTCAAAGTTTCATTAACTAGCAAAATATACTATTAATGAACAAATCAGTCTGAATGGTTTCCAACCACTAAAGTAGTAATATCAAATGATTTCCAACTAATATCCAGCGGACTTTCCATAAGACAAGTATCTAACAGTCATCGATGAGTAAATAAAGGACAAACTACATGTCGTAAAATGTGTTCAGCTATTGATGTAAGTTGAGGAGCATTCTCTACAGCCAGTGTTACTAAATAGCTAAAAACATTGAACCTGATGTCTGACAACATAAAAGTTCTCAAATGAACCTCTTACTTTGTAGTTATGGTTTGACAGGCATAAAATATATAACTTTAAATAAATAGTTAATGAGATAGAAATTCCATTTACCTGTGAACTATGAATTGATACTGAATCCTCAAACACTGTCCACATCACGTTCTCTGTGCATGGTGGTGTTGTTAAGGAACCAAAATACCGAAAATATTTAGTAGGTTGTAAAATTGACAAAGCTTGGGTCAGGTCGAAATCCCTGATAGATATTGAATTATTTTCAGTTAATTTAGGATTTAAAGAGTTAAAAGGCTCTCCATAATTTGGGGATTGTGTCTTCTCATGAGGAACACTATCATCGATCTTGTGTAGCACGCCAAGAACAGCCAAACCACCAGGTTTTCGAGATGCATCATACATTGTCGGATAAAAATCTTTTCTGAATGCCGCAATATGTGCCTGAAATCAGTGATGAATTTGGATCTGCAGAGTTAATTATGTCCGCAGTTCCTGTTTATGACAGAAAGTTTAGGCCTAAAAAAAGAATTCATTTGCGACAATAGGACTTCACAGTGATTTAACTATTACTAAACCAATGCCAGCTGATTCATTTTATCGTACATGGATGCCATTACCAAGTATTCCAACCAAAATCTGAATACAAAAATCTCACTTTTTTCTTTTGTTCTTCAAACTATCCTCCAAATACTGATTCTTGACCAATATCCATCAGTGAGCATTCTAGAAAAATCTATCACTTCCTGCTGTTAGGTTATTAAATTGCAACCAAGATTCCATCATTCAAAGGATATATAAAGACTCACTCCAGTCACCATTAACTGTCCGAATACACGACTTAGATTACAGAAAGTGAGTAATTTACTTGGAAATTAAGATTAAGTCTTGCCTAAGAATTCTAGCAGCAGTGAATGTTCAGACGTTAATAGTTAGAAAGGTTACTTTCGCAATTATCTGAAAGTTTTATTTTTAGTGACGATATTCACATATTTCTGCAAATAAATTTGCTTTCGGTGGTGTCGTCCCCTACAGCTATACAGTCACTTTCAAACAGTTAGGAAGTATAAAAAGACCACTGTTTGGTAGAAAACAACTGTCAGTTGTTTGTGTCTACGATACTAACATTGGAATGGAAATTAAATGAGAAATATGAAAATATTTGACAATATGAGTTGAAATGAGGAAGTAAATAATTCGAAACAAAGCAAAGAGATGGTTGGGAGTGAACAAGTGAATGAGAAATTAGTAACTAAGCTAAAAGGAAATCATTTACATGAAAACAATATGAGTTAAAAGATTAGTCAGGCATAAGAAGTTGAGAATTTACGAATTAAAAATCAATGAGGATGGGGAAATGTAAAGTTGCATCTGGACACAACTCTGGTTTCAACTGATGTATTGGCAGAGTTTCAGTAATGAGAAACAGACATTTCTTCACACTCTTCTGAAAATTTCGCCATACGTTACAGACTAGTGAAGAGGAATCCTCTGGAATTTATGTCCTCAGTCAACTAAATGTGTTAATATGGAGCTCTTGATTGATCTGCCTTAATATCGTCGTGAACAAAGTTGTTCACCAATGTCTTTATTCTTTTAAGACTCACCTGGAGTATTTAAATCATATATTTCTATTTAATGGAGTGACTTCACTGGGTTAAAAAGTAATTCTAGAAGAAATGCAGTGAATAATGTATGCGACGTTCGACGGTCAAACTTCATGGGACTTGATATGACTAAAGCAGTAGTTCGAGAATAAAAATATCTGCAACTGCCACATAACTGTTTTAATAATTCTGTTGACAACTTATATGGCTACTAATACTTGTCCGATTCCTTACCAGGTCTCATAATTATTTTTTTTACAAGAAATTGTAAATCATAGTTTTAGACGTACTTTCCCATCAGTTGTTTACCATACCAGTGTAATATCACTTCCAATAACCTGATTATTCAATCACAAATTTCAAACAAATGTTAGCACCCTGTTTCTGTGCTAGAATTAAAAATGTATTATTATGAACGTCTTGGAAAATAAGACCATTGCTCACCTCCAAAGGAAAAGATTCCCCATCGATTCTATGCTCAGAACCTCTATGATCGTTTTTACCCCAATGAAAATGCATCTGAACAACTTCGTAGGCATAATTTATTTGACCATCAAACGTTATAAACCATGTGTTGTTGGGAAATGTTATTTCAAATGGAAATGATTTGAAAAGCATCATTATCCGCAGGATAACACAAGAAACAATGGTGTAACTGAAACAGAACCCTTGTCTGTTAATGATGGCTGAAGTGAAATGATTGTAACGTTACCAAACAAATATGTCTAGCGTATATTCAAAGTCTTATGGAGTAATTATCTTTAAGTCCAAGATTATGACGATTTGCTACTAAAAGTGTTTTTCACCAATAAAAATTTCTAACCGTCATCATGTGCATTATCTTGAGAGTTTCCTTACAATTAAACGCCAGATTTAGGTCCAACGTTATGCTTCGGTAAAAACTGCAGATATATACTCGATAGCTGACAACATTTAAGACCAGCGTGCTCCAGAATTCATACTTGCCCGAAGAATGAAATTTTCCTCCGTTTTATTTGGCATCGACTTACGTTAATTGGGAAGTGAGATGGTAAGATCTTATGAGGTTTAGTGAATTGAACCTACAACCCATCACATCTAATTAGATATTAATTGACAAAGTAAAACGCTAGGACTCAGTGTTAGTTATTTTTACTTCACATAATACCGTCAAACAGAAGTTACTTCATGCCGCTTGTAGTAACTATCTTCTGTATTGTATAGATATGGTAAATTTTACTATCTGGAATTTTGTGTCAAGAAGCTTTGAATACAGAAATAATAATAATGTCTTAAATCTCGGAAATTCATGCAAAAATTCTTCACTTCCAACGATTCAATCAAGAGGAATATTCAGAAACCGATTTCACCGCATTGTAGATAACCTGTCTTTCGATTTTTGTTTATAAGCCTATACAATGTGATGAATGGAAAGCGAAGTGACTCTTACGCCTTTTTTATTCAGCTTGTCTACATCCTTCCATAAATTCAGTGTTGATTCCACTAGTAGAATTATCCTGCAGTATAAGATTTAACGGAAGTGGATTTTTGCTAATAAATATTATCAGCGCAGTTATCATACTACATAAGATTTTTACCTACAGTCATACTTACCAGAATGACCAGTATTTCTAACTTTACTTCCTAATATTCCAGCTTTGTTTGAACGATAGATTCCACTGCCCTTTAAGTCATTCACTTCTACAGAAGTGCTTTTTTCCCAACTGATATGGGATTGAAAGTTACCAGCACACATATCCTTGAACAGTATTGCCCAGTCTTCTAGTCCATATTTACTAGATGAATACAACCATACTGTAAAGAGGAAATCATTATCAGAACATAGACAAAAATCAGGTATGAAGAGTTTTATTATTTTAATCACCTAACCACTTCATTACACAGCACCAGTTATAAGTTCTTGTACTGTGGTAAGGATGAACAAAATAAACTATTTTATGTAAAAATAAAGAGTTCTACTTCACAAAGGTAGAAGTAACACACTGTGTAGAAATATTCGACCTAAGAACTAATATAAATTTTTAAGTAGGACTCATTATGCATCTTCTAAAACCTCTGGTGAATGAATCTGACTGCATTAACCGTTGATCAGTATATAGCTGGGTAAACATCTATACATTAGGGAAAAATTACTCACCAACTGCAAGCGAAAATTCAGGTCATAACAACTTTATTTAAACACACATATACTAAGCTAAAAAAGTTTAGCACTCCTTAAAGATAAACTTATTCTACTTCATGAAGTTAAAATGAACTCAGATACTGGAACGATGAGCGATAAGATACGGACTCATCAAAATCGACTGCTTGCTACAGACAATATTGTGTCACACTAGAAACGAAGTCAGTGAAACAGAAAGTCACCACTCATTTGTCAGTTGCAAGAATTAAAGTATTTACCCTAATAACTGATTTCTGTCAAATATATTTATGAACTATTGCATCATTATAAAAGGCAAAACTAAGATATAACTAATATTTGGGATACTTTTATGTTATCAGCTTTGAAGTCGTTGAAAAACTGAGTGAGGACATCTTTGACCCTTTTTCATTTCTATCTTAATCATACTAAACATTTCATATGACTACATAGCCTTCCGTTAGCATACGCAATGTCCTGCCACACATTGCAGGTTATCCGTCACTTTACCTTAGCAGTTTACAGCTAGTTTGGCTAACTTAGTGTGCATGAGACCATGATTATTGGTCTTTCTTTTTGTTTTCAAAATATGTACTTCGACCATGAGACCTAAAATGTGTTGTTCTATGTAGCTTCTGAGAATCACACAGAACAAGTGAGTTCTTGTTTAACAAAGTGTTCTATTAATTGCATCGTGTAAGTTCACCTTTATGAGTTTACGTTTACTGGTTAGTGTAGGGGTTTAGGTTCTCAAGTAAATGAATTAGATGTGACCTCTGATATATAAGAATCCTATTTCGTAAAAACAAATACATACAAAGTTAACCTTCAATTATCTATCAGATATTAATTTGAAAGAAAAAAACTAAGTAACCTCCAAATTGTTCTCATACTTTTAAAAGATAAGGTCATAATCTTCATTTGTATTAAAGAATAACTGATGATGGAAAAAAACTGGAAACAATTATTCACTCTGACTGACCTTTTGGTCCTTTGTATGCTGAGTTGTAACTTATCCCTACCAAAAGAAACAGAGACCAAAGTATTCTTTGCATTTTCCAGACTTATACCTATAAATATCCACAGCATCAATCATAGAAGTTTATTCAAGTGGTCTCAGAGCAAACGTTCATATAATTTATGCATGATTAACACATAAAATATTAAAAAACCTTAGTTTTCAAATATTTGATAGTCGGTTTACACAGAATGATCTCCTGGAAGAATTGACGACGTGTTTATCGAAACTGAAAAAGTGATATCAGGTATACGTCAAAATGAAGTAATAATGCAGTCATGTTAGGAATGCATTTTAATATATTGTCAGTATGTTAACAATCATAAGCAAAACTAATCTGAACGATTCGCTATATTAGCCAAAGCTTCCCCAGTCGAACCACAATTTAGGTCTGTATATTTATAATAATATTACAATTGCTGATTGCAAAAAACCACAAATGAATCTCAGAAATGTTATTCATCAAAAAACAATCAAAAAGGCAAATGCATTTGGTCTGTCATTATGTTCGAAAAATTGGTCGACAGAATATTTTCTCAGATTGAAATCTTTGCTTGTTGGTACCTCTTGGTTAAGTGCTTTTTGTAAATATGATAATACGTACACTCTTGAAAATTTGGATGCACTTTTATTAACCGGG